TCAGTTCTTGTAGGCTTGAGTGAGGCTTGAATTCCAGGTCGGTACTTTTGGCAACTACTTCGGGACGAAGCCTAAATGCAGTGTCAATAATGTGGAGCGTACTTAGAGATAAGAAGAGAATGAGTTCACTAACATAGCAATGGCACGCTCAACGACAGCGGCAGGCTGCGAAGGAATGGGAGTCATGCGCAAAAGATTGGAGTCTAGTTTCGATACAGTTAGGATGTCATCGACGATCGACTTCTGATGCTGAACACAAAGAGCAATGTTGTTCGCAGCTTCGATGCAACTTTTTGCAATGTTTCTATCCTCATCACACGAGAATTGATGAGCACTGAGAGTATCTCCGATGTCGTCTGCGGATATCAGAATTGCCGATAATGGATTACGCATTTCGTGCGATGTAATGTCGATGAACTCGTTTTGTTGGCGCTTTGCCTCTTCTGCTTCTCGTAGTCTTCGTTCCTGGAGACCTTGGGCCCATTTTAAGTGCGATATATCGGTAACGGTGCCCATAACGCTTATCAGTTCACCTTCTGGGCTTAGCTCCGGCTGACAAGACGCAAGAAACCAAAATTCAATGGGTTCGCCGTCGATGTCTTTTGCTTGGAATCTAGGAAATGCATATTGGAGCTCTCGACTGGTCGGCTTGTGGGTACTTATCAATTCTAGACGTTGAAATTTCGTTAGCGTACCTCATGGAGCAGATGTAATGTAAAGATGTCACTTACCATCCCACATATTCTTTGCAGCCTCTACGCTTTGCTCTGCTAGCACGCCGTCGGGCATGAAGTTTCCAATGGTATCATGGGACACTCCAGTCATTTCAAAGAAACGTTCATTTGCCTCCAATAAGTGCGCCTCTGCGTCAAACAAGCACATGCCTAAAGGTGAAATTTCGGTCATTCGGCGCATCCGACTGGTCTGGAGTTGGAGTTGCTGAGAGAGTTCCTCCCGCTGCAAAGCAGCAACTTCAGCTGCGCGCTTGCTTCGCCGCACCTCGTCTTCAAAAAGAAGAACTGACGCTAATGAAGTCGCAATCTGTCTATTGAGCATGGATGTGAAAGATTCGTACTCTTTGTCGTAAGCTCTACGAGGGTTGATGCCGAGGAGCAACAATGCACAAACATTGTCCGCATTTGTTGGCCGAAGAGGTAGTATCATTGCTTCCCTGCAGGGATCCTTGTATCCTCTCCACTCAACGATCTCAAGTAATGACCTCGGGAGTGTTCCATTTTCCACGTGTAACATTAACGGCTCCAATGTTCGCGTCGCCTGGATGAAAGCTGAGATCAGAGTATCATCACTCTCCGTCAAGGAAAATCTTTCAGGACAGGCTTGATGTCCTCTCGGTACTCCAATGGATCCTTCGACGATGCAAGTCTTTACGAGACCCGGACTGGTATCAGGTGCTTCCAAAGAGCTATGGTCGATGTCCTCCGCATCCACAATCGAGTACAAGAGCGCGAAAGGCACGTCGTAGTCGTTATGAGCCAGACCGTCCAGTGCCCTGCCCCAAAATTCTTTTACAGTGCGTGTTGCGTTCAGGCGCTCGCCTAGATAGCGTAACAACTCCATTCGCCTGCCTCTGAGCGATTCGATAGTCGTATCAAATGCATTCATATAGACTAGATTCCGATCATGAGTCAGTAAGATTTCTCATATCCAATAATGTTCACTTAATGAGAACTGGATTGATATATTTGTGGATTTTTCGGCACTTGATGCCATTACCATCGCATTCAATCGGCAGATAAGTTATATGATGCTATCGCAACGATACTTACAACCAAGAATGCGATCAGTGCCGCCAAAAACTGGAACCTACAGTCATGTAAGCGACACATAACCGAATGAGTCAGAGTATGAATGCCCACAAAAGACCACGTGAAGAATGCCTCTTCCAGATAACCATGCCGTATGATTGGTAACATTTGATTGAGGTTGAGTTGAGCCTGGCCGGTTCGAGCGCTTTCGCGCATCGTAGTGCTAACTGAATCCCACATTTCGTGAAAAGGGCCTGTAAAACCAGTACCCATCAGAGCAGGATGCTTGTCGCCCGCAATTATATCCCTATGAGACTCATTATAGAGCATGATCAAGTCCTCGCCCCAAAAAACAGATGATGGATGAGGATTCCGCATGACCAAGCAAATAATTTCTCGGAATTGAATCGTCCATGTATTCATAGCGCCCAGAGATGTCTTTGACCAGTCAATACTTCTTACGAATTTTAAATGGTCTGAAAGAACGCCTTTGGGGTGCGCAGCCGTCCAGTCGGGTACGGAACATTCAAGTGCTGTCAGGGTAACGGCGGAGACGCTTGGTGTGCTACTTTTCTCCTCCTCTAAACCATTGTTTATTTGTGACGATTCGGGGTTTTGAGCATTCTCCAATATGCCATGTGTCGGGATAGCTGCAGCAGAAGCTAAACCTTGCTTGTCGTCTCTCACCCGCACGCCACGCCACTTCTTTTCAGATTCTGGTGCAGATGTCCACAGCGGACCCCTTCCTGGGATATCTTCGTCGCGAAAGACTGGATGGCCGGCGATCACTCTCCAGTTGGGCTGAATACAGAAAACAGTCCATACGAATTTGGCGTACTCAATCGCCAGTGGAAAGATGTCTCTAGAATCTCGAAATTTTCGGATAGTCGTTGCCCATTTTCGAAATTCTTCATAGGTTGCGCCACGGTCGCTATCTTCGGAATCTTCCCGTGCAGAGCCAATAACCTTGAGAAATAGTTGCTCCTGCCTCCTCAACGCAGCATTGCAGAATATTGGCCGCACGGCTAGTTGATTTCCACAGACATGATTTTCGATATTAAGCACAAACGTCGGTCTGTTGTCCATATCCAACAACTGGGGAAGGCTTGAAGTGTCGAGACGATTGAGGGCGCCATCTTGTCGGCCTTTCTTCGGAAGAACAGGAGGAGCCGTTCTCAGGGGATTCTCAGGGACTTGGCTATCCATGGAATCCAGCGTTCTGGGAGGTCTCACCATATGCTATGGTGTGTCGAGATACATTAGGGATAGAGTACGGATAGGGATGTAAGCGTCGAAGAATCGAGTAAAGCGAGCTGTGTGAGACTGCGACATTTACGGATGCGCGAATGGAGGAAAGAGGTCCCGACAAATGATCGGCTGCGACGGATCCTGAGACGTGGCTAACAGGGTGCCTTGCCAAGCGGGCAGCGGATTTAATTCAGATAAAATCCGCCTGATGATAGTGATATGTAGCAGAAATCGCAACGCAATGGAATAGGGTGCAGCACAAAGGTAGATGAGCGGATCTTCTCTTTTGGTTTAGCGCAAACTGTAGAGTACTAAGTAGAGTACTACGTGGCAAGGTCTCCAACTTACAGTCACCCGTAGCGCTAGTCTTAGATAGTACCATGTACCGAAGGGTCGGTCCTCTCTTCGCTAAAGTAAGGGGGCGCGTCTCTGCCACATGCATTTTGCATCACTTGGACGTAGATGGCTATGAGAAATATGGGAGGTCTCCCTGACTTATAGCATATAATTTCCTTGGAGAGTCGGTTTTTGGGCATGTGGAAATAAGCGGAAAAACCTGCTATAACTCTCAATATTGTGATGTCTCATCAGGACGAAAGTTCTCCCACGAAACAGGTGCTTGTTCGCTGTGCATGCGGAGAATGTATGAAAAAGCTGTGAGAGGTTACAACAGGACTAACCATTTTACATTGGAGTACTACTGTAAGAAGTACCTGATTGACCAAGCGATACACTCTACTGATGCTGGATATTCCTCTTATTTAAGTGAAAATCTGATAGGACATTTAAGCGGCCCATATCAACCTCAAGACTTCACCGAATATGCGCACTGACAGCAAGGAAAGCTCATATCGCTATTGTGGGAAAACAGCTCCTAAGAATGGTGGTTCAGGTGAACTTTATATCGGTTTATATGCGGTCAGCTCATGGTCTAGACTTACTAAGAGCAAACTCCGACACAAAAGTAAGTAATAATGCCAAGTGTGCTTGGTAAGCAGCAGTCGGACATATAATAGTTCAGCTATGCTTTTGCCAGCTCAGTCTAGCGAAGAATGTCATGTAGATTCTGAAGAAGAGAAATCGAGTTCTGGTTTATACGAATACCGTCCTGCAGTCTTCAAATGTCCATAACCACACTTAAACCAGCTGTGTGGCGTAAAACATTGTGGGAGTTTCTTGATACGAAAATGAGTGCAAGACAACCAAAGCTGAGCCAATCGGTATCAAAATGATGAACATAACAAGCAATCATACCAACGAGCTGATCAACTCACTTCTGTGTCACCCTAAAGTATCAACTGTGTCATTTTGGATGACAAATGCGCACACCGCCTCTGCTTTGCAATGTCTCAAATCCCTCGGAAACACCCCAAAAATACCACAATGGATACGAAGCTTTTCCTTGAAACTGACAAAAGCGGTAATAGCTTCGTTCTATGCCTCCATCATACACCTCTTCAACGTCCCAAACCGCACGGCATTGCTCCACCATCTCGACACTCGGTGCATACAACTTCCGCCTCGTGTAACCTCACGATAGTACAACTATCATGTTGTTTGTAATCAAGCACCACATCAGGCTACTTCTGTATTCCCTACAGTAGCGGCTGTCAGGTTGCATTTCCCCGGCACGTCGCTTTGGGATCCGATTGGCCGAGCGCACATCTCTACACCATCAGGCCCACCAGCTTTGTAATCCACGTCTCCAGCAGTCACGACTGTCGCGTCTCATTCACACCGAGTCAAATTTTCCGGTGAGGCTGCGAAAACAACTGCGACGTGGTTGTTCGGGTCGATCGGGCCATCGGCCGGTCCGTCGTTTTGTCAGTGTGGGTGCAAGGAGCGAAGGAGGCATACTTAAATACTTCTTGCTGTCTCGCAAAGTCAATAGAATACCTCAACAACAACAAGCAGCAGCATCTTCCCTCCTATCCCAATTCTTCTCTCTCTCAGTAAATCAGACACACTCTTTGTCTCATACTGAAAATGTCTTCCCTAACCTTCCACACCATGGCCATCTTACCCGCCATCAGTGCCCTGAAAAACACCCTTGCCTTCATAAAAAAAGGCCACGAACACGCTCTTACCAATAAAATCGACCCGGAAACCTTTCTCACCGCCTCCCTACACCCAGACATGAAAGACTTCCGCTTCCAAATCTACCGCTTGACCGACGCCGTCAAGTTCATGCCTTCCCGCATCAACCCAGCACTCGAAACCATCACGCTGCCAGATGACGAAAAGACGTTTGAGGAGCTGGAAGCTCGCATCGAGAAGACGATCAAGTACCTTGAGAAATTCCAGCCCGCGGATTTCGAGGGCAAGGAGGCGGATGAGCTGGTGGTGAAGTTCCCTAGTGGCTTGCAGATAAGTTTGCCGGCTGTCGAGTATGTGTACAAGTTTGCGCATCCGAATATGTGGTAAGTAAATTACAAACTTTCTGAGACGAGAGATATACGTGGTGGGAAAGAGAGGGGGGGAGAGAGAGACTAGGACAGTGTTTGCTAATTACGATATAACAGGTTCCATATGACGACTGCGTACGGCATTCTCAGGATGAAGGGTGTGGATATCGGCAAGTTTGACTTTGTGAATGGTGCAAAGGAAATTGTGGTTGAGAGGTGGGAGGAGCAGAAATGAAAGCAATAGACTATTGGGAGTCTTCATGGAAAAAGAGAAAAGCTTTTCGTTGTAATCGATCTGTCTCTTGGGGAACTAATATAGCTGGATAAAAACTATGCCAGATATCAGCCCAAATCACAGCAAAGGCCACCGCGAATAGCGTTGGGAAAATCTTCAAAAGTACCACAAATGTTACTAGATGCACTATTTTTCATTGCTTAATTTTTGTAATAAAGCAATGCCTGGGGTGGGCATTATCAAGGAGTTGACTGATGTGGTAGGAGCATCTTTAATCCGGCTATTTCAGTCCCCAAACCACTTCTTTAATCTGTCCAAACGGACCGGCCAATTCAGGATTGCAGCACCAAGTAGTGCATCCATGGCGCTGCTCTGCGAGCTAGCATCCGCAGGACTGACAAATGGGCCATCCCAGTCCACACCGAAGAAAGGAAGCCCCTCACGCATCTCCCTGTTCTTCTCCCAGATTGATTCACCATTTATGTGAATTATTGCGTCAACCATGAAGTCTCCAAATGCTTGTCTGAGCCGGACCAAGTTTCGCACAAAGGCGCCCTTGAATTGCCCACCATCAAGACCACATTCTGGCTCACAAACGTCGTGAATGACTCCATCTGAGGACTTGAGCTCATCAATGGCTGCTACCCCAATGCGGGATGCAGCAACAAGAAAGTCATCCCCATCGGGAGAGTGGGCGCGCTGGAGTTCGACAAGGCCGCCAAGAATTACGCCTTGGTTATATGACCAGATCGTCTTGTTGTTGTTCTCGCAGTCTTCCGTTAAACCATCGTTGACAGTACCATTGATGTTGATCATTCCGCTGCCGAAGAACCAGTCATGGCTCTTCATCGCCCAATCGAGGTACGCCTCTTTCTTATCTTCAACCCGATTAGCCAGATGCGCTGCAGTGCTGAGGAAAAGCTCATTTGCGATTGCGTTGACGTAGTTCTTCTTCCAGCTCCAGTATATGCCGCCACCGCAATAAGTGCCCCACGTCTTTGCTACTGCGAGAAAGATGCCTTCGGCAAGGTCAAGGTACGGTTGATGCTTGGTAACATCGTAAGCATTGATCCAAGCCAGAGCCCACCAAAGATCATCATCGTAGAAGCCGTCAAGCCAGTCCTGTGGGTCTGGACTTTCAGTATGATGTGTAGCCTCTGCGCTTGAAATGTTCTTAGTCCCGTCCTTCCAATTCGACGGGAACTTGCAACGGGGCTCGTAGGTTATCGGATCAAGTTCCTTCATATATCCACTATCAACATGTATAGAACCATCTTGATTGTCAGTTGTATTGTTTGATGGTTCATCTTCGTAGCCCGGTTGAGGATTCATGATTGGTGCACGAGCAAGTGCATTCGAGAAGATATCCCTTGTTAGAGCCTGCAAGTCCGCATCCTCGGGAAACGCCTTGGCGTAATCACCAAATGTCGTGATGATATTTGCTGCATTCCACCATCCTGTCGTTTCCCAGAGGCCTGTGGTTTCGTTGTACCATGTCTGGAGAGCTGATAGAGCGAGCTTGGCACGGGATTCTAGGTCGACGTGTTTTTCGCTGTCGCTATGTGCGTTAGAAGTTGCTACAAGAATGAATAGCAGTTGATGTAGATAGCGGAAAGAAAACATTGTAAATATAGAGCTGAGAGTAGGTTATTGAAGCGAGAAGACTTGAGAGTGACTAAATCACATTTCAAATATTGCGCGCAAACTGGGGATCGCTTGGGTTGGGCATAAGGAGTAATTCGTAGCCGTGGTTGGCAGCGTCGATACCGGCGTAAATTTTTCGTATGGCTTGCAAACATTCCATTGTTCGTGCTAAGGGGCGGGTTGTTGTAATGATACAACCATACAGGAAAAGCAACATCGTCTGTGCGTGGTGTCTGACAATCGACAGATCGGTTCTCGAATCCGAGATCGGATCCATGGCCCAATGGCTTCTCGTCCAATGGTATTTTCCAGGGTTGTGAATTGAGGATAAAATTAGGCTGAACCAGAATTTCTTTTGGAAGACGTAACAGTCTGTGAACCTGGTGACTCAAGGAATATGGTCATGAAACAAAAACAATGTATGACTTGCCAAGCAAACAAGCACACTCTCTAACACCTGTGAAAACCAGAAAATGAAATCGATCGAATCTCACCTCTTAGTTATGCTTACAGGCACTTGAAGCAGTCGAGACATTTGAGGACCCAGATATTGCCAGTCTCGCTTTGGCAGTGGTGCTTCTAGGAGGGGTTGGGTGTTATGGGATACCCATGTGCCAGACGGGCTTGTTATATGCGCCAAATTTGTCGAGAAAAGTAGCGATGTAAGAATGATGAATGCATACACATTGAATACGCTGTGCTGGCGTAGCAAGAGAGCATGATCATAAGCCATCTTCGAGGGCATCTGAGATTGTGTAGAAGGCTGCACCCTCAGTAAACTCCCTAGCGGATGATATATGTATAGAAAATCGAGGCATGTGCCCGTTTGTTTCAACGAGGCACTGTATGCGCGCCTAGTGAGGCAGCGATCGCTCTGCTGTTAGGTCCAGAGCTTTGACGATCATCCACGGGACAACCAACTAGCGCGACACTACCCCACTCGGCGATGCTCCTTCTTGCTTTGGACACCGGCTGACACCAACAACATGATTGCTGATTTATGGGGGGCCCGCAAACACTATCGCTATTGGAACCTGTCCAACGATCTTTCCAACGATCCTACCAACGGCCCGCCTACTAGCCTACCACCACGCCACTCTCGGAATTAGACGCTTCATCCATGTTGCATCCACCTTGAAGGTTGGAGCCATCACTCCCTTCCCCCTTACGGCAGTAAAGCTTTGGTGCGACAACGTCGCTTTGTAAAAGCATCGGTCCTATCGTTTTAGCATGCGGACACCAGGCTGATACCCTGGTTGCTGACACCGACATTTTCGTTTTTCTGACAGCATTACAACTGACGTGATCAGGCAATCAAAATATCGTGACCAAAGTCTTTGAGCTGTTCCACCCAGCAGTTCCCTGAACCTGGCCCGGCTTCATCTTTGAACTTCCATATCGCTTCTAGCACGCGCTTGGATGTGCGCAGGTAGCCCCAGAACATAAGACCATAGAGCTCGTCAAGGGTGTTCATGATCCACTCGCGTTGGGCAGGGTCTTCTGACTCTGCGCCGGCCAAGAACAATGGCCAACAGATTGACTTGAAGAGCGGATCTCCCGGCTTCAGATGCGAAATGTGATGAACCACGTCGTCGGCCAAGGCTGTAAGACTGACAATAGCGGCGCCACTTGTTGGATCGAGAAGAGGGTTCGTAGAGGGTAAAACACGTGCGAGATAGATACAAACGGCCGAACGGTGCGCAGAGGCGATACGGATGCGTTGTTGAATGTCTTCGAAGGGTGATGCGGGTACGAAATCAGATGACCATACAATTGGGTCGAATTCAAGCGCACGCCGTAGCAAGACGCCCACTTGCTCCTCAATGTAAATGGGGGTATTGGTTCCGGAAGGGGAACCGTGAGAGTCTGGTAGCGCAAAAGACTCCAACATGATACGAAGCAGCGGCCCGGGGCAAGAGAGGTAGTTGTTCGTCTCGGCGTAACGGAGGATAGGGTCGAGTTCAATCGTGTTTGGAATTAATGTAGGGAGCGTTGTGAAACTGAAAGTCGAACCAAGAATGTGAAATACCAAGAGGTCTGAAAGTATCGTTTGGCGAAGTCTGCTCATCGGGCGTTGAATGTACGGCGGCTTGCCGAGTAGCTGGATAAGCCTGAGAGCACCGTCCATGTGAACTTTCCACTTGTCTCGACCAGATTCTACAAGGGCGTAGTTGACGAACAATAAGATCGTTATTAGTATGAAATCAATATTAGCAGTGTTCACGGACGTAATGCTCTTTGCGAGCAACGAAAGCGCATGCTGTTTTGCTACAAGAGCATCTCGGTAAGAGGATTTGAGCGGCCCCCCAAAGCGGCTTACAGCTTGGTAATAGGCCATGACGGTTGGACTCTGCTGCTCCTGGTAGGAGGACTGGCCCACGGGGTTGTTGCTGATGTTGAAGACATGGACCGCGGAATTGGCGACAATGATCTGCAAGAGCAACGGATAGGCAGATGTTGCCGGTATGAGATCACGAATAGGGTTCTGGCCAGGCCCATCGTAGACGACCATGACCTCGCACAGCTGAGTTGCGAAATGATAGAGATAGTATCTTGAGTTCCGGTCAAGGTCGTTCAGCAAAGGGTCTGTCAATGCTCGATGAACATCCGAAATCATCTCCCGTTCCTGGTCTGAATCCATCTGCCGTCCTTGTATGGACATTCGGTAATCGTCTATTACCGAATGTCCGGAAACTAGCTCATAGCTAGGCTCGGGCAGTGATGACATCTGTTGCTGCTCGTCCTGTTGCTGAGAAGGGCCCTGGTTGTCCCATACCAAGGCCGACATGCCCTGAGCCTTGGCTGGTGCTTCAGGCGGCTCTGCGTGCGCGATGTGGTGCTGCTCCATCTTTTCCTCGTAGCCCTTCCCCATCATCTTGCCGCGACTGGCGACACCGCGGTTCCATACAAACAACTTCCCATAACCCAGGCATTCGGTTCCTGCGGATAGACATTTCTGGCAGCTTGGTAAAGACCGGTCGCATCTCCAACGTCGCTTTCGGCAATTGTGACAAGATTTGGTCGGCAGATTTAAGTGCGTTGTGCTCATTGGATGAAAGCCATGCAAGATGTGCTGGTGATTGACTGAATTGAGTTCTACGGGGTATGGCGCGGGGTGGATATGTTCTGGTCGTGGTGGATGTGGCCCGGGGAAACAGTGGCGTGACGGAGCTAACGGCTTTGGGCTTGGGGGCGGCGGCGCTTTTCGTCACGTCAGCCTCTGTCTTTACTCATTACGTAGCGAGAAACTGCAGTGGACAAATCACATGCCATTCACCGCCGGCAAAGCCGAGATCTTGGCGTTCTCGACGTTCACGTTCCACCGTCACACTAAACTCCAACTAGCAGCCAAGACACATGTTCTGCGGCAAAGGGTCCACTTCGTCACGGCTTAATTCATCTATGTCAGATCCACCGCTGGCGTTCAACGTTGTCCTTCGGCTGTACATTCCAGATTAAGCTGCTGCTTAGAAAATGCCTTTCTTTCTGATTACCACATCGTCCACGGGCTTTGTGAAGTCCGGCCAAACTCTAAGGTATCCAAAAGCAATGGAACAAGTCATATAACTATCGGGCATCAGAAGAGCTTTTTGTGCTTCTCCATCATTCACTTCTGACAAGTGTCGCCACAAGAACGCTTCTCTGGTCACCATACGCATCTTGCAAAGTTCAAGAATGACAACGCCAACACCTTCAACAAGCCAGCCTACCTTGGGCCATGGCAACCTTACCTCAGCACCTCCAAACGCGACAGACTTCGTGCCACCTGCAACGTTAGAAAAGGCCGAGGAAGGCATCAATTTGCCACGCCGAGTTTCATACACCGAGTCCGATATCGAACGTCTAGGTCGCGAGCGCCCACAAGCGTTTGGCACTTTTCTTCAGGAGCTAGGCTTCTGCTTCGCCCTTTTGGGCTCCATGTTCATGTCGGAATACATGATCTCTGGCTTCACCATCCTTCTACCTGACCTCGCTCAAGAGCTCGACATCCCCACCAAGGCACAAACATGGCCTGCTTCCGTCTTTTCTCTCGTCACAGGAGCGTTTCTTTTGCCATTTGGCCGACTGGGTGACATGTTTGGAGGTTACCTAGTCTTCAACATCGGTCTTGTCTGGTTCATCATTTGGTCCCTTATTGCCGGCTTCTCACAGAACTACATCATGTTGATTGTGTGCCGGGCAATGCAAGGGTTTGGTCCTGCAGCATTCCTTCCGGCTGGTATCATGCTGTTGGGCTCCATATATCGTCCTGGTCCAAGAAAAAATCTTGTCTTTAGCTTGTATGGTGCATTCGCTCCTATTGGTTTCTTTACCGGCATTTTCTTCGCAGGCATCTCTGCGCAACTCGCATCGTGGGGCTGGTTCTTCTGGATCGGTACCATCATCCTCGTCGCTGTAAGCGTAGCGTCGTATTTCTGCATACCCAAATATAAGATCGAGGCCAATGAAAAGGTCGAGGCACCAAGGAATGTTGTCAAGATGGATTGGTGGGGCACCGCAACCGTAGTCCCGGGGCTTGTCCTGGTAATCTTCGCGCTTACAGACGGGAGCCATGCCCCGCAAGGTTGGGCAACACCATACATTCCTGTAACGTTCATCTTAGGCTGGATCTTCCTCGGCGCCTTCGTTTACATCGAAGGCTGGGTAGCTGAGCAGCCTCTCCTCCCCAGTGATCTGTTCAAAGTCAAGGGTATGAAACCCCTTGGGCTGGCTCTCTTCTTCCAGTACGGAAACTTTGGCATTTTTATCTTCTATGCCAGTTTCTACATCAAAGACGTTGTCGGCGCGAGCTCACTCTTAACTGCCGCATGGTTCACGCCCATGTGCATCGGTGGTTTGATCTTGGCTACCGTCGGCGGACTAGTTCTACACCTCTTGCCCGGTCGCATCCTACTTATCATCAGTGGAGCGGCATTCATTCTCTCCACACTTCTCTTCGCGATCATTCCTGCCAAGTTCAATTTCTGGGCCTGGATCTTCACCGCCATGATATGTGCTACTCTTGGCATCGACATCACCTATAATATAGCCAACATCTTTGTAACGTCATCTCTACCAAAAGCGCGACAAGGCCTAGCAGGCTCTTTCATGAACTCTATTCTATTTCTGGGTATAGCAGTTTTCTTGTCGCTTGCTGATCTAGCAGTGAGTGAGACAAAAGAGAGGGGTAAGAGGGAAAGCTACAAAGTCGCCTTTTGGCTTGCTACAGGTATAGCAGCGGCGGCCCTCGTCATCATGTTTTTCGGTGTCAAGATTGGCAAGGCAAAGAGCGAGTTGACAGTTGAGGAGAAGGAGGAGCTGGAAAATGAATTGGTTCGAAGAAGGACCAATGAGTAGTCAGCTGACTGTCCAGTAATAGAATATAGTAGACTTATAACAACCTAATCAACCTGATTTATTTCAAAAAGTCGCCGTTAGTCTTCGCAAGAATCTCATCGTAGTAACTCTGGAAAGCCAGCCATCCCTTCTCAGGCGTGCCTACTTGTTTGTATGTTTCAGCTGCTTCGCTTTCCGGTATGATCTTTGGCTTGTGCCTACTTCCGGCTGCGGCAGCATCCACTAAAAGTTGTGCCTGACAGGTTTTATCGAGGGATAAAAACCAAAAGGCTGCTTCGTCGACTGATTTGCCTACAGTGAGTATACCGTGATTTTGTAAGATAGCTGCTTTTCCGTCGCCTGTTCAGTGTCAGTGGTGTTAGCACAGTAGTTTTTGGGAAATCACGCACCCAGCGCGTCAGCAATTCTCTCGCCCTCTTCACTTGCTAATACAATGCCACCGAACTGGTTGTATACACCGTGGCTCTTGTAAAAACGCACGCTATCTTGTGTAATCATGTCAAGCTCTCTCCCGAAAGCACTAAACGCTTTGCCATGTACGCTGTGAGCATGGCATGCAGCATGTACTTCCGGTCGTCGCTTATGTATTGCGCTATGAATAGCAAATGCCGCCGCATTGATGGGCTGATCACCTTCGACCACCTCGCCTTCTTCATTGACCAAGATCAAATCCGAGACGCGCATCAAGGAAAAATGAGTGGAGAGCGGGTTGAGCCAGAAATGATCGGTCATGATAGGATCGCGGACACTTATGTGTCCTGCGACTCCTTCATCAAACCCGCGTGAAGCAAAGACCCGATAAGCAGCGGCAAGGTGCTGTTTGCGGTATAGGCGCTCATCCTCGAGCCTTGTAAAGGTCGGATACCTGCGTACTTTCAATGATTTGCCTGCTTTGGTGCGACCCATAGCAGCGACCGTCTGGTTGTCGATTTCCTCCGCATGGTCGACACGTATACCTGCTGCCACTGATGCGTTATATGGACTAGAAGACGTGGCTAGGCATCGGTTTGAGTAAAATGGAGTGGACGCGCGCCGGAACTTGAAGGGGCTATAAGTTCGAAGCAGCAGACGTGACCGAAGATAGGTTGTAGACATAATGAGTGTGGTAGACGAGTGTTTGATTCGTAAGTAGCCGCGTTGCCAGTCGTCTCCCCGCATAGGAGCGTGACGATTTCCCCGCCGGAAATAAGAGCGACGGATATACCGTGTCCGTGCACCTTGTGCGCGGATTCGGCTTATGCGCACCCGGAACCTCAAACCACGTCTAAACACCAAACTTTAACGCACGATAACTCTACTACTATAGCTCTAATTAATAATATAATTATAAATTTAGATTTATATAATTTAGAAGAAAAACTTAATATTATAGAAGTTACGCGAAAGTAGGGCGTTATATACTTAATACTAACTTATTACTAGAGATAGTAGTGTTACACGG